AAACAAAAACCTCAATAATCAACATAAATATTGTAGTGCAAAATTTTTTAAAAATAAAAAATGCAAAAAATCCATAGTAAACAAAATATCAAATGTTTTTTTCTTTTTTTGTTTTCAATTCTTTTTTTTTTTCAGCATACTATGGGGGTACAGGTGTTTAGGTTACGTATGTTGCCCTTGCCCCCCCTCCCCCCCAAGTCCGAGCTTCAAGCGTGTCCATCCCCCGGATGGTGCACAAAATATCGAATTTTAAAATGCAGGCTCCACTCCTGAATTTGCACAATCCTGCCTCTCATCCTAATCCCAGCCCTGGAAACTTTATTTACAAAAGCTGGCAGTTAGCAGCTGGCCTTAGTTTGCTAATCTGACTTTTTAAAAGTTTGCATTAAAATGAATTTTGCATTATTTGTCTTGATTACTGAGACTTTTTAGCACCTCCTTAAATTTTGTCCCCAGAAGAATTCCTCAAGCATATATATGGTCCTGGTTGGGCCCTGGTAGGTAAGGAGTGAAAAGAGTGAAATGACAGAAAGATAGTGTGGGGTAAGTGTGGGGTAAATCTGGCCTCAGATGCGCCTGTGAAGTGAGAGGGGAGGCTGTCCTTTTCTAAAATTCAACCTCTTAAACCCAGGAGGATGTGGAGTCCCTCCCACCCCCCAGGGTAACCACAGTTTAAGTTAGCCTCTCATCTGTGCAGAGATTCTAGAACTGAAGATGTGATGTGAAGTCAACTACACTGATCTGTGAGTAGGAATGTTCCTTTGGGGAAATATTTTATGAGGTGACTTCTGAAAAGAAGTGTGACAGTTCCTCATCATGTATCCTGCTACCTCCTCTTTGAGCCCACCTGAAGAAGTGACATCCTCCCAGTTGAAGACAAAGTGACAATTTTAACTCAAATCTAACCTTCCTCTTATTTTGTCTTTCCCCTTTTCCCAAAAACACTTGCTCCTTCAATGGTCAGGAAATGTGGGACTCGCCTTCACTTCCTGCCTTCCCCAGTGTGGTGTCTGCCCCACTTTTTCAGCCAGCCCTCTCTAAGGTCTGGAGTGAACAGAAAAATAACTCAATTGTAGCTGATTAAAAAACAAAAACCCTGTTATATACATTTCTAAAAATCAGGGAAATAATCTGAAACTAATTATTCCCAACCCCAACAAAAATGTCAGGTTTAAAAAAAAAATACCACCCAGCTAACCATATTAATATGCAAGGCGAGAAATTTTTATTTAGTTATTTGTTTTTTAGACAGGGTCTTGCTGTGTTTCCGGGGCTAGAGTGCAGTGGTGTCATCATAGATCACTGCAACCTCAAACTCCTGAGCTCAAGTGATCATCCCGCCTCTCCCTCCCAAGTGGTAGGATTACAGGCCTGAGCCACCCAGCCTGGCCCAAAGCAAGAATTCTTTACTAGCATAAAATCTACAGAAAATGTCCCTGGCTCTTAAACATACAATGAGTAATGGAGTGGGGAATGAATATTAGCAGAAAGATCACCTGGGCTTATGTAGTTATCATACAAAAAAATAAAAAAAAATTAAAGGAAAGAAAGAAAGATGTCCTACTCTAAAAACAATATACTATGAGTTATTGCTTTGCATTGCTATGAACTTCTCTGCCCATTTAAAAATAACTTTTCACTGCCTCTTTAGAAATTAGGATAAAGTTCCTACTTTCAGGGCATTTGAGAAAGCACAAAGCAAGCTGCTTAGATGCGAGTGGATTAATAGTATAAAATCCCAGAGCAGAGTAAGGAAGGGCTGTGTATTATTGTTGAGAGAACAACAAGCAAAAGTTCAAATCCTGCCCACAAGAAAGACAGAAGGGCTCTTGGTAGAGGTGTGACTGAACTAAGGGGTAAAATCTGGCCTTTTGTGAATAGACCCTTAATAGGTTTAGGGACCATCAGGTGTCAAATTCAAAAGGAAGTTTTGATGTAACTTGAGTGCAGTTGGGGTAACTTAAAGAGCATTCCATGTGCAGGTGCTTGTCCCTTGGAAAGGGCAGCAAAGGAGGACCATGTGGACCGCAGGAAGGGGCACATGGAACACAATAGCACAAGAAGCAAAACAAAAGCTGCCTGGCAAGTAGTTTGTGGTCTGATGCGGCGGAGATCATTTGAACCTTATTAGTACATTTCTTTTTCCTTGAATTCAAGCTTGTAGCTCATTCTGTCAAGGACAGGGTGTCAGGATGATGGCTGAAGAAGAAGCACTCAGCTCAGTGAAGCACACACTAGCAAAGGCGTGGAATCTACTTGGAGCAGAAGTGCTTTGTAAATTCCTCTGAAGAAGTTACAATGGAAGGTTCTGGTAACTTATGTGTGCTTAATAGTGAATGCTGAAACTGTAACTTTACCTCAGCAATATGACTTGGGCATTGCACTTGATCAGTGCAATGTAGGTAGAAGACTTCGGCATCTTTAGCTTTTACAATCTTTCACCCTCTTCCAAAAGAACCCAAAGAAAGGTCGTTAGGGTTAAATTGTGTCCCCCCCACAATAAGTTACGTTGAAGTCCTAAATCCCCCCCCCCAGTACCTTGGAACATGACCTTATTTGGAAATAGGGTTATTGCCAGTATAATTAATTTACTTAAGATGAGGTCACATTGGAATAGGGTGTCCTAATAAGACAGCTGTGTGAAGACAGAGGTACATACGGGAAAATGTCATGCAATGAAGAAGGCAGAGATGGGCGTTATGCAGCTGCAAGCCAAGGGAAGTGCCAAAGATTGCCAGCAAATCACCAGAAGCTGCAGAGAGACATGAAAGGACTCTTGGAGAGATTTCAGAGGGAGCACAGCCCTGCCAATACCTTGATTTCAGACTTCCAGTCTCCAGAATGGTGAGACAATAAATTTCCGTTTTTGCAAGCTACCAGTCGTGGTACTTTGTTATGGCTTATGGCAGCCCTAGCAAACTAACGCAAAAGCCTGACAGCAGTGTTTTGTATGGTACTGCAATAGATGCTCAGTGTTTATCTGTTTACTCATATTTGGCCAAAAAAGCAACTGAGTTATTGAGGCTATTTTAAATAGTTTGCAGATCATATCTGTTACAACATTTAACTTTATTTTGCCAAAAGTATGTTCAACAGCCATCCAGACTTTAGGCTACACAAAGAACTTTGCATGATGTAAAGAAATGTAGCTCAGGACTATTCTACTTAAGACAGTGAGTCTGATTCTACATGTTTTATAATATTTAGATACAGTATTTTTTCATATGTTCAGGCTGAGGTTAGACAAATAGAAAAGTTATCTATACCCTGTCACTTTTTGTTTTTTTTAATTAATATTATTTTTAATTGACAAGTTATAATTGTATACATTTATGGGGTACAGTGTGATTTTCTGATATATGCATACAATGTGGAATGATTAAAGCAGGCTAATTAACGTATCCATCACTCATTTTTTGTGGTGAGACACTTGAAACTTTACTCTTAGCTATTTTGAAATATACATTATTATTAGCTGCAGTCACCCTGCTGTGCCTAGAGCTCAAAAACTTATTCTTCCTTTTCAGACAAGACTTTGTACCCTTTGACTAACATCCCCCCTATCCCTCCTTCCTTCATCCCCAGTCCCTGGCAACCCCCTTTCTACTTTCTCCTTCTATGAGTTTGACTTTTTTAGATTCTGCATATAAATAAAATCATGCTGTATTTGTCTTTCTTTGCCTGGCTTATTTCACTTAGCCTAATGTCCTCCAGGTTCATCCATGTTGTTGCAAATGAAATAATTTCCTTCTTTTTTAAGGCTGAGTAGTATTCTATTGTGTAT